GGTGGTGAGGCACTGCAGGAGGTTGCCCAGAAAGGTTGTTGGATGGTGTCCCATCCCTGGAAGTATTCAAGGCCAGGCTGGATGGGGCTTTGAGCAACCTGATTTTGAGGAAAGTGTCCCTGACACAGCCAGGACAGCTGACCCAAATGGATCAAACAGATGTTCCAGACCATCCAGCACCCCCTGCAGCCCACCACCCTACTACCAAAAGCATCTCTAAGCCTGCAGCAGAGGAGCCTGCTGGGGAAGAGCTGGGAAGGACCTACCAGCAAGATCAGAGGGGGCAGTTTGGGTACCACGTCCTGCCCAGGGGTCCAACACTTCTCGCCACTCTGATCCTGCAGGAGAGGTTCCTCTGTCTGTGGGTGCTGGGCAGGAATCCTTGGGTTCCACGAGGGCCCAAGGCTGTAGAAGATGGGCACTACCAGCGAGTGCATCATGAGGCGTCACACAGAGCCACTTTTGCTGGAAATTGCCTGTGGCTGGCAGGACGGAAATGCCTCTGTCAGTAGGAATAGTGTCTAGGGACTGGGGGTTCTGGCAGCCCTACAGCCTGATCCCAACCCTGTTGATCCCAAGAAATGACCATTCCCCACTGTTGCATCTTTGAGCTCTACTCCAATTGGTTAGCCTCAGAGAGACACCCCAACACCTGGGCAGGAAAGCAATGGATCTGGGACAAAGCCCCCCCCCAGAGGGTTTTAATATAAACATTTGTCAACACAAAGCACAAAAACAGGGGAATACCAAGACAGGAAATACCCGTGTGTGTCTGCTGACTGCTGGAAAAGGGAGACCATTCCCTGGCACTCACGGCTCTCCCAGTGGCACTGAGCTCTCCTCCCTCCCGGCTGCACCCAGCTGCTCAGCAGGGCTGGGCTCTGCTGGCATGGGGCTTTGGGACCCTTGTGCACTGGGCTTCGGTGTCACATCCTGGGTGTCCTCATGGGGACATGCCAGAGACATCTCTTCAGCATCATCATAGCCCACGTGTACCAGAAAAGGGGACAAGATGTCTCCCTCAGCTCCAGGGTCCTCAGCACTTCTCCGGGAGTGCAGGCTTCCCTCTGCAAGCATCAAGGCAGGCTGTTGTGGTTGATCCTACGGGGTTCTTCTCAGGGCTGTACAACACCTTCCCCCCCCTCACAAGCCTGAGACATTTGGCACATCCACCAGCGTCCTGGAAATATCTCAGGCCAGGTTCCCCATGTCAGGAGATCAGGCTCTAAATATTTCATGGATTCTCCTGGCCCTGGGGTTGGCACCTAGGAAGTGGCAGTGCTGCATTGCCCTCACCTGTGGCTGTATCCCTGCGCCCAGCTCCTTCCTCTGGTGTCCTGGGCACTTCCCAGTCCCCCTGTCCAGGGACAGTATCCTCCCCAGGGTCAGAAACCTCCCCAGCATCATCATAGCCATCCGCTGGGTAACCTCCAGGCAGGACAGGGACATCTGAAAGGAGAGGGAAGGTGGTGGCAACGAGAAGAGATGCCCTGCAGAGCAGAGGATGGGAGGGTGTGTGGGGACACAGGGCTGACATGCTGCTGGTGTCAGGGCCAAAGCAGAGCCCTCGTCCCTCCAGCTCTGAAAGTGGCACTCAGTGGCACTGCTGTCTGTCTGTCTGCAGGGAGGAGAGATGGAGCCCTTCCTCTCCCTCCCCTTCTATCCCTGCAGCTGGCCCCAGACCATCCTCCTCCTCATGTGTCTGGGGTAGGGCTGCAGCTGGGTCAAGGACCCCTCTGAAAAGGAGGCTGCAGAGAGCTGCAGTGGGTGCTATGGGATGATCCCTGCTGCCCCATCTTGTGGTCAGCACTGCTGGGGATGGGCAGCCACAGAGCTGGGATAGAGTGGGAAGGAGACCACCCCTGCTACCCTAGGAAGAGCCCATCTCATAGGGGCTCCCAGAGTTGCCCTGGAATAGCCACTTAACTCAGCCCTTGGATGTCCCCAGGGTGCAGGGCCCAGCAGAGAGGGGCTGTCCCCTCTGGGATGGGCAGAGCTGGTGCGGAGGAAGCTCCTCTGTGAGGGCCAACACCTGGATGCTCTCCCGCAGACGTCATGGTCCAACCATTTCAGGGACCATGAGCAGGAGCTGCAGGACACAGCCCTGGTCTGAGGCAGAGAGAAAGTGCCCCTTCAGGAGCATACACCCACCTGAGAGACTGAACCCCAGCCGCTTCTCCCATGCCAGGCTGTAAGCGATCTCCTCGTACACGGCCTCAGGGAAGGGCTCCCCAGCTCTCCCAGAGCCTGAGGACAGAGGCAGGGCTGGTCTGGGCATGGGCAGAGAGGGACAGGACCCCACTGGGCTCCCTCAGCCAAATTCCCTAGGCCAGCACAGGGCTGTCCCCACAGCACAGCCCCTCTGTGTTGTGTTGGCACTGCAACCACATCCCCAGGGAGGGCAGCATTCCCATGGAGATGGTCTGGGGCAGAGTCAGTCTCACATTTGGAGACAGCCCTTGTGCCCCTTTGGTCCCCGGCTCAAGTCCCAGTGCAGACCCTGCACCAATTCCCACATTTCTCCTCCCCATGGAGCTGCTCCATCTCTGCCCCACACATCAATAGCACAGCCTGTGCCCTGCTGGGGGGTGGCTGACACCACGGTGATGGACTCCGCTACCCCATGCTCCTCCTGCCAGTGCTGCCCAGAGCACTGCCAGCAGTGCATCCTCCCCGTCTCACCCAGCCCAGATCTCACATTTCTCTTCTCACCCCAGAACTGATGCCTCAGGCTCTGGGCTCTCTCCACCCCTTGATGTTGGTGCCCCATGGTCTGTCAGTCAGTGGGGCAGCACATGGGGCAGGAGGCAGCACACGGCTCTGTTTCTGTGCCCCAGGACACCAACACCCCCAGCACCCCGAGCCCTGCCAGGAGGCATCTCCCCCCCAGGACCACTGGGGAAGGACCCACCTCTGCGCCGAGCCCTAGCGCTTCGCACCTGCCCAGCCAGGAGGGCCAGGAGCAGGCAGAGGAGGGCCCCCAGGATGATGCAGATGACGACAGGCACTGAGAGTCTCTCACTGCTGGTGGTCGGACGGCCCCGTGGGGAATCTGCAAGGGCAGGAACATGGCAGGGGCAGCATCAGACAAGGTAGAGGCTGGGGGCAGGACATGCCACTCCTGACCACATAAGGCAGCAGGGGCTGGGGGAGGACAGGGCTGGGTGATGGGGCAGCTCCCACCCTGCTGGGTACATCACAGATTTCTCCCAGCTCCTTCAACTTTCTGGGAATCTCACAGCTCAGCAGGGAGCCCCTTCCCCTCGCTGTAGGTCACAGAGTGGCCATGTTCAGACACAGCTCTGGGGAAGGACAGCTTACCTGCTCGTGGGGGGAGTATTGCTCTCCTGGGTGCAGCTGCAGGGGAGCAGAAAGAGAGATGGGCTGAGAGGCTGGGGCTGTGATACCAGGCAGCCTCCCTGGCAGATGGCCCCTACATGTGCCACCTGAATTGTCCCTCCTTTGGGGCTGGGCAAGGTGGAAGGGACAGCGCCTAGCACCACTGCTCTGGGCTGCTCACAGGACAATGCAGGCAGCCCAGGGGATGTGCTGGCACATCCAGCCCCACTGAGGCTGCTCCCCACCCACCACCAGCCTCCCACTCTGCAGGAACACCCTTGCTCAGGCCAGCACTGGGGCCATGCCAGGATCCAGCAGGGCAGACACCAAAGCCAGCTCCTTGACAAGCCCCCAGCCATGTCTCCCAGCCCCACTGCTCACCTGAGCAATGCACAGCCGCATCTGCTTTATGCTGGCAGGCAGCGCTGTCCCCTGGCTGGGCCCAGCAGTCCTGCAGAGACAGCTCCGTCCCCCTGCACTCCATCAGCCACATGGGGCCTGTCCCCTCTCCAGCAGCAGCCTGGCCCAGGGCATAGACCGCGGGGCCACATCCCAGCTGCCTGCATGCCACCTCAGCATCCCGCATGTCCCAGGCATTGTCACACAGTGTCCCCCAGGTGCCGCGGTGCCAGACCTCCACTCTACCCGAGCAGCCGTCCTTGCCTCCCACAGCACGGATCTTCTCCCTGTCTGTGGAGGCAGAGACCTCCTATGATACCAGGAGAGCTGGGACAACCCTGCCAGGTGAGGAGGGCACATGCAGGGGCAGCATCCTACCTGTGCACCTCGTGAAGTTTGGGCATGCAGCCACCTGTGGCCTTTCTGTCCATGTCCCAAAGGAAAGAGAAGTTAAGCTGAAAAGGGCTGCTCTAGGGGTTGTGCAGAAGCCAGCAGGGCTGACCTCTGCTTGCATGTCCCCATGCTGACTGGGTAAGGGCAGGAGCAGACTCCTGTTCATTCAGGGGACATGCATGGCACTGTGGCGGGGACCTGAATGTGCATTCCCACAGGGTCCCTCATTCATAGAGCAGCAGTCCCCTGTCCATGGAGGGGAAAATCCTGCCCCTGCCCAGCATGATCTCCTCTGAGACCTCTCCTTGAAAAGCCTCTGCCTCTCCAGCACCCGATAGCAGCCCGTATGTTCACTCCTACTGGAATGAATGGGTGACTCCGAGAGCTGAAGTCACAATTGTGCTAGAGTCACAGGCCCTAGGGTGGGAGCCCTGTCCCCACAGACTGTCACCGGGGTGTGAGGGGGGTCCTTCCTCTGGCCATGGGCTGCACTGGTCTGGGCGTGCCCAACTCCAGCTCTCCTGGGCCATTTGCTGCCCCACAGCCCTCATAACCTCCTCTTCCAACCCCAGTGGCCCCCTGCCCCTGCCCATGCCCACTTACACACCACCCCCAGTCCTGCACAGGGTTCCCACTCCTCCCCTGACCAGCACCCCCTCCAAAGCCCTGTGACTCTGGCCCCATATTCTTCCTGTCCATCACCTGCCCTAGGCGCCTCTTGAATGCACCAAAACCCCAGGAGCTGATGGCAGCCTGGCCATTGACTGCTGCTGGTGGACGTGGGTGGCTCTGAGAGCTGAAGTCACCTTTGTGCCACCAGCAGCAACAGGGTCTAATGCAGGAAGTCAAAGCCCCTCTGGGTTCCTTCTCTACATTTCACCATACCCAGTGAGGAAGTGGACCTGGTGCCTTGATGGCTCAGTTTTACCTTTGCAGGTGATGTGGGCCTCTTCTCGGAGGTCATCACATGACTGTGAATACCAGGGAGCAGAGGGACACTGCCAGAAGGAGCTGTTGCTCTTCCCACACTCCACGTGATCCAGCCACGCGATGCCAGACAGCTTGGCATAGTTAGAATCTGTTTCCAGTTCCCCTTCATTCCCACAGCCCAGCTCCTTGCACACCAGTGACACCGTCTCGGTGGTCATGGAGTTGGAGCAAACGCTGCCCCACGTCCCGTTGTAGAAAACCTGCAGGCGCCCGGAGCAGCCGTCGCTGTTCTCCAGCCTCAGGGCCATGAACTCTGGAAGGAGGAAAGGCCCCAGGGACGTCCTCGGATGTCAGCCACTGATGGCCTTGGCTCTAACGGGCTCTGCCCTCACCCCGGCCTCACTTGGACCATCTCCTCTCCCCACTCCCAGCACAGACCTGAACAGACGACTCCTGCGTCCTCCTTGTGCCCGCAGTCGTGCTGCCCCCAGGCCTTGGCAGGGCAGTCCCAGAGAGCAGCTTCAGCCCCGGAGCAGTTGACGCCATCCAGCCAGATCTGCCCGGAGCCCTCCCCAAACCGAGCAGAGCCGGCTGCCTCCAGGGCCCCTCCGCAGCCCAGCTGGCGGCAAACGATGGCGGCATCGGCCACGTCCCAGGTGTCATCGCAGACGGTTCCCCAGCGCCCCTGGTAGTAGATCTCCACTCTCCCGGCACAGCGCCCGGCCCCGTCTGCCAGCCGGACCTGCCGGCTCCCTGCAGCGCAGAGAATACCGGCCGTCAGGGGCTGGCTGCCTTCCCAGCCCCACACCTGGGGGACGTGCAGCACCACTCACCCTGGCACACGGCACCCACGTCCTCCATGATCCCTTCTGTTGGCATGCTCTGAGGCAGGGAGGTGTTGCAGAGGCTCAGGTCAGCCTCGTGCCCTGCACACCGCACCCCACGCAGCCCCACAGGTCCTGGTCCTCGCTCGGCCCTCACGGGGGTGTAGGCTGCCTCTGCCTCTCCGCACTGCAGCTGCCGGCACACCACGCTGGCCTCCTGCATGTCCCACTGCTCATCCAGGACTCTGCCCCACGTCCCGTGCTGGAAGACCTCCACGCGCCCGTCGCACCGGCTCCCTCCGCCCACCAACCGTACGGACATGTGGCGAGCCGGGCCTGGTGAGAGGAGAAATTCAGCCAGGCACTGCCATGGGGTGTAAAGCTGTGGGTGGCCGTGTCACACACCAGGGGCAAATGGACTTTGCAGCACTGCCCAGCACTCACCTGAGCAAATGACAGCAGCAGCGTTCTCCTGGGAGCACGGCGAGGCCCCCAGGGCAGTCACTGGGCACTGCCCCAGGTGGGCTTCAGTCCCGTCACAGTGGAACGAGTCTCTCCAGACGGGGCCAGTTCCTCTCCCAAAATGCCCTCCTCCAGGAATGGACTCGGCAAAGCCACAGCCGAGGTGCCGACAGAGAACGTGGGCGTCCGAGAGGTCCCAGCGGGAGGCACAGAGGGTCCCCCACGTCCCCAGCACCTCCACCTCCACCCTGCCCTCACACGCTGTGCTGCCGTTCACCAGCCTGAACCCTGTGTACTCAAGGACAAAGGAGGGTGAGAGAGGCCACATTTGTGCTCTTATTCCCACAGGAGCTGCAGCAGAGGCCAAAGGGACAGCGTGCCTGTCTCCTGCAGCACTCTAATTTTGGGGCTGCAGACCACCACCTCACCCCACCTGTCCCCGACCCAGCACAGCCCAGTGCCCACCCTGCTCTCCTTCCCCCACCACAACCCCAGTGGCCCTCATTCCACCCCAAGTCCTTACGTGTGCAGGTGACATGAGTGCCATTGCTGTGGGTGCAGGCCTTGTCCTTGGGGGCCCCCCAGGGGCAGAAGAGGATGGTGGATTCATTCCCCACACACTGCAGCTCTCTGTCCCAGACAGGACCGGCCCCTTCTCCCAGCTGAGCTGCCCCATGGACAGACAGGGCTGTGCCACACTGCAGCTCCCTGCACACCACCTCGGCAGCTTTGGCACCAAAGTGGGAGTGACAGACAGCTTTCCACTGGTCCCTGTCGTAGACCTCCACACTTCCTGAGCAGGGGCTGTCCCCTCCGACCAGCCGCACAAATCCTGGAGCAACCAAGGAGACCTGTGAGTTCCCAGAGCCCTCTGGCACTTCCATGCCCACCTCCCACCTCATCCCTGACGTGGCCACATGCAGAGCCCCACCGCCAGCTCAGCAGCTATCCGTGGGTACTGATGGTAGAAAGAGGTCAGGGCCCCGCTGCAGTTCCTCATAAACCACCCCAGCCCCCATGGGTGCCCTCTCTCCCAGCCCCCAGCCACAGGCACCGCTCAGAAAAACTGCTGCTCCCCAGAGTTCCTGGGCTGCCCGGCCCCAGACCCAGCACTACAGCACCAGCCGCACGTGGGCCCAGGGAAATGGGCCCAGGCACTGGGGGCTATTGCAGCTGGCTCTGCCCCACCCGGCTCAGACCAGGCTGAGGAACCCTTGGAGCTGCCAGAAAAGCCCCCTGTTCCCAGGGGTGCTGGGGCTCTTGGGGAGCTGCTCTTAGATGCGGCAAATCTGGGGAGCAGGTAAAGGGGGGTCTTCAGGCAGGGACAAAGTGTGGTGCTGGGCATGCTCAACCCCAGCCACCAGCCACACATGGAGCAAAAGAGCAGGCAGAGAGCAGCCCTGGGCTGACACGAGCTCCTGGTGTGAGGGCAGGTAGAGAGGAGAGCCAGGAGGTGGTGGCACAGCCCCTGGGGCACAGAGCAGGCAGGAGAGGCTGGGCAGAGGGTCAGCATTGCCTGGAGGGGCCGTGTCCCTGGGTTCTGTCTCTCATTGGATGTCCCTGGCTCAGGAACAAGGTGCTGCTTGCCATCCTGCTCCTCTCTGCAAGCCCAGTGCTCCTGCCCTCTGAGCAGCCCCTCTGCTTTGGCCGACATTCTCTTGGCTGCTGGGGGTACAACCCAAAAATCCTGGGCCATTGCACACCCTTCCCTGAGGCTGCTGGTGGCTGGGGGAGCTGCTCTAGATTCCCCTGGCATAGGGACCAGCCTGCCAGACAGGGCCTGGGCGAATGGAGGAGAAAGATGGGAACCAGGCAGCACAATGGGGAAGGGTGGGGGCTTTCCTCTCCCAGCGCCAGGCACCTCCCCAGGGTTGGCTGCTCCAGCTTCAGGGCCAGGCTCAGTGTTCTCCCACTGGGCTTTCCCCAGGGACAAGGGCCACCAGCAGCAACACACCCAGCTCAGAGTGCAACTTGACACACACAGCTATGTTCTGGTTTCCACTTGTTGCTTCCTGAGTTCACAGCCATGTCCCTTAGAAGTGTCCTCATCCCAGAGGAAGGGAACAAGTTCAGTCCTTACCTGAGCATGTCACTCCAGCATCCCGCTTGTGACCGCAGTAAGATAACTTCCGTTTAAAAGTCTTGCAGTTAGATAGGGCAGACTCCATGCCTTTACACCCAATAGTATTCACCCAAATCAAACCAGATCCTTTCCCAAAGTATGCTTTCTGGTGGGCTTCGAGAGCAATCCCACAGCCCAGCTGCCTACAAACCACTGCAGCATCGGACAGGTCCCAGGAGGCACCACACACAGTCATCCACTGGCCTCGGCGTTTCACCTCCACTCTCCCAGCACAGCGCTTGCCACCATCTGCCAGCCTCACCTCTTCAGCCCCTTCAAACACCAGCACGGGAAGGATCAGGAGAACTTTGATCCCCACAATGTGGGGCTGTGTGTGCCCACTGCGCACACAGCGTCACAGGCCCCAGGGTGGAAGCCCTGTCCCCATAGACTGCCCCTTGGTCAGTTGGGATTCAGTCCCTCTCCTCCCCATGGGCTATGCTGGGATGAGGGTACCACGCGCCAGCCCTCCTGGGATATTTGCTTTCCTACAGCCCTCAGCACCTCCTCCCACCCTAGTGGCTCCCTCTCCCTGCTAATGACCACCCCCACACAACCCCCAGCCCTGCAGAGGGCTGCCTCTCCTCCACAGCCCAGTGTCCCTCAAATATCCCCCTGCCCTTGAGCACCTTCTATTGCCCATTGTCTGCCACAGGCACCTCCCAAACCCACTGTCAAACCCAGGACCTCCTGTGTGCCTACAGAGCACAGAGTTGATCACAAGGATATCAATAGTCCACATCCCTTCCCCGTCCCTGCTGTCAGACCTGTCCCTCTCCCACAAAGATAGACACAGGTTAAAGCATTGGGCTGGGAGACTGAGAACATTGTCCCTCTCATTTCAGTGGTGCCTGGAAAACAACCTCAATCCAAGAGGGATCCCCACTGCTGCCCACTGGTACAAAGCTGTGAAACAGACAAGCTGGCACTTACCTCTGCATGGCTTAACCAAGAGGAGCAGACACAGAACCCAAGGGGATAGGAGTCCCTCTGTCCCCATCCTGAGGCTCCTGTCCTGACAGCACGAACCTGCTGCTGGAGCTCCTGGGGACCCACGATGCAGTGGAGGTGATGGGAGGGCAATATATCTGTGCAAATGCTGTCCCAGCTGCAGGAGGAGCCAATCGAAGCAGCAGGCACCTTTTTAGAAGTTATCGGCACTTATCTCCCCTCCGACGCAGCCCAGCTCTCCAATGAACTTCTCCAGCGCTCTTCATGACCATATATGAGGGACGGCTCCGCTGCAGCTCTCACGTCACTGCGGTGGGACATCATCGTGGGGTAGGGCTGGGTGTGGGGGCAGATGGCTCTGACACCCCTTGCAGCCTGCTGTGGGAGCACGGAGCATCTCCTAAGCTGTAGCATCCAAGAGCCCAAGGTGCGATTGTCCAGCCGTCCCTGCGCCATGGGATCCAGGGGACTGGTCCTGCAGCAGGGCTGTGTCAGGCTGGGAAGGGACCAGCCCCTGCCCCTGCTACAGCCCCCGCTGTGCTGGCAGCAGCAGCTGGGAAAGGCCCTTGGGCAGGGCCAGAGCCCCATGATGGGGGTGCTGGCTGTCCCGTCCCTCCCCAGGGAGCCTCCTGTGGGGTCCCGGCAGCAGCCAGAGCTGGTCCAGGGCCTGCCCTGGCAGCAGAGCTGCAGCCCAGAGCCTCAGGCGTCTCCCTGGCTCTCAGCGTGTCACCCAGGGGCCGTTATTCCCCGCGGCGGGTCGGGAGCTGGAGCCTGCCTGCCCCTGCAGGTGCACAAACCGCAGCCCACGTGACATGGCGCCCGGGCAGGAAGACGGTGGTTTCCTCCTGGCCCCGTGCCCAGGCATGGCCCTGCGGTGCCTCCCAGCCTCCGCACAGCTCCAAGCCTGGCAGGATTCAGGAAGTGTTTGGACAATGCTCTCAGACATATAGTTTAATATATGTATATACATTATCTTAATAAAATAATGTATTTTTATAAATATATACAAAATATATATTTTACATACACATTATATTATATTAACATATATTATATTATATTAACATATATTATATTAACATGATATATATTTACATTACATACAGTATTATATTATATTATACAGTATTATACAGCATTATGCTATATTATACACTATATTTTCTTATATTAATTATGTCATATTACATTATATGACATATTTTAATTTATTTTATTACATTATATTATTTTTATACATATACAAAATGTTTATTTTTTATAAATTTATATTATATTTTTAATATATATATTTAGTTTTTATAGCTTTTTAGGTACATACATAATTTATTTTTTGTCTGGTCACTAGAGTTGGACTCACTGTTCTTCACTTCTTTCCAATGGGGGATATTTCATTATTCTGCCCAACCCAGCTCCTGTTGATGCCATAGCATCTTCACCTGCCATGGGCCTGCTCCTGGCCTGTAGTCAGGCAGCAATGACCTCACAAACACTTACACAATTTCTTGGCCTGTTCCAGCCCTGCCAGCTCCTCAGGCACCAGTGACCTCACAGGTACTCGTACAATCCATGGGCCTTGCCCTAACCTATCAGCTACTTGATCACCAATGAGCTCCCCACAGACCCACACAAGCCATGTGCTTATTCCTGGCCTCCTGGCTTCTCAGGCACCAGGGTCCTCCCAGCATCTAGCACAGGCCGTGTTTGCTCTCAGACAGTTAGTTACACAGGCACCACTGGCATCGAAATGACATCCACAGGCCAGGGGACTGCTCCTGGCCTATTAACTCCTCAGCTGACCATGACCTCATAAGCACATGTAGCCTAATGGAAGGTGTCCCTGCCTGTAGCAGAGGGATGTGGACTAGATGGTCACTAGGGTTCTTACAACCCAAACCATTCTATGATTCTGTGATTCTCTGATGTCCGTGCAGCTGATGCATACTCACCATGGAAGTAGTCAGGCTCCAGTGACCTCCCAAGAACTTATCTGGCCGTGCACCTGCTCCTGCCCTGTCGGCTACTCAGCCAAGAGTGGCATCACAAGTCCATTCCCCAGGCATGGGTCTCCTTCCTGCCTGTCATCTTCTCAGGCACCAGTGACCTCACAAGCTCTTACGAGAGCTGTGGGCCTGCTGCTGGTCTGTCAGCTCCACAGGCACCACTGACCTGAGCACCACATAGACACCTGTTTGGTTTCTACTCCCCTATGAAGTAGTGTGATGCACCAGTAGACAGGGGCCTGGGGTTTCTGTTGGATTTCAGGAGAAATCAAGCATGGTGTGCCATATCTGACATGACATCATAAGCTCCCAAAGACCCACACTAGCCATGTGCTTATTCCTGGCCCGCAAGCTTCTCAGGCACCAGGGTCCTCATAGCGTCTAGCACAGGCCATCCTTGCTCTTGGCCTGTCAGCTATGCAGGCACCACTGTTATCACAGAACATTCACCTGCCATGGGCCTGCTCATGGCCTATCAGATCTTCAGCTGACGGTGACCTCGTAAGCACATATGAGCTATTGGAACATGTCCCTGCCTATGATGGGGTTGTGTGTGGGGCTGTGGTGGAACTACATGATTGCTAAGGTCCCTTCCAACATTCTATAATTCTGTGCCACGTACAAAGGGAACAGACACTTCCCTGGTCCTGCTGGCCACCCTGGTTCTGATGCAAGCCAGGATGCCATTGGCCTCCTTGGCCACCTGGTTACACCACTGGCTCATGTTCAGCTGGCTGTAAACCAGCACTCCCAGGTGCTTTTCTGCTGGACAGCTTTCCAGTCGTTCTTCCCCAAGCCTATGCTGCTGCATGGGGTTGTTATGACTCAAGGGGAGGACCCAACACTAACCATTGTTGAATGTCATGTGATTGGACTCAGTCCATCGATCCAGCCTTTCCAGATCCCTCTGCAAAGCTTTCCTATTCTCCAGAAGGTCAACTGTGCCAGCTAACTTGTTATCATCTGCAAATGTACTGAGGGTGCACTTGTTCTTCTCATTCAGATCATCCATCAAAATAGTAAACAAACTGGATAAAGTACAGAGGCCTGGGGAATGCCACTGATACTATCCCCCAACTGGATTGATCTCTCTTCACGCAGAATCTTTGAGCATGGCCTTGAGACGGTTCTTCAAGCAGCAAACTGTACACTTGTCCAAGCCATCAGTGGCCAGATGGATTGTCATTCTGCAGGATTGCTGCTGCTGAGTCCACACTGCGAAGATGTAACTCCTTCTGTTATGTCTTTTTTTTTTTTTGTTTTGTTTGTTTTGTTATTGTTTTGTTTTGTTTTCTAATGCCCTGTGCTCGGTCTTTTCAAACCAACTAAGCATGAATCTGGTACTTGTGATGAGCTGGTGCTCATCTCGTGTTCCATATACTTGCTAGCATGTATCATTCTCCTTGAGTTTGCACAACAGTGGCATTTTTGCACTCCCTTTTGTCTCTGTGTGCTTGAGTCTTCAGCACCAATGGTAGTTCAGGAAGACTGGGAGGAATGGCTGCAGGGAAAGCATGAGGTTGGATCTATAATGGTGAGACCTAGGTCAGCATTCACAGGGCAGTGACTCAAGCTGTGACACAGCCAGGAGTTCCACACTTTGGGGGAATCCCAAAGGTAGCTCCTTCCTGAAGGGCTATGCCGTCCTGAGTCCTGTTCTTGCAAGTGCAGCATCTGTCAAGAGTTGACCTAAGTTTGTCTTCAGAAGAAAGGCCCCATCCCGAGGCTGCCTAGAGCTCTCCACAGTTCCAATGTGGAGTCTTCTCCTGAGGGGCCTCTCCAAGGGCTGCAGCTTCAAGGAGAGGTACTGGGGTGAGACACCCCAAACGGGGGTGGACCCCCTGCCCTGTCGCCGTCGGACAGAGGGAGGAGATCTGGGAGTTGAGGAGGAGTGGAGACAGGTCCCTGCGCGACATGGCAGGCGATGCCCTCCCCTTCCGGCCCCACCTTCCCAGGTGCCCTTACAAAACAGGTTTGAGGCCCTGGAGATTGAGAGACCAGCAACTGAGGAAGAGATAGAAAGTGTTCCCAGGAGGATGCCTAGGGCGAGGAGGTCGACTCCACGCATCAGGACTGCCTCCACCAAGAAAGAAAGAAGGGTGATTGTCGTGGGAGACTCTATCCTTAGGGGGACAGAGGGCCCTATTTGTCGGCCTGACCCTACCCGTAGGGAAGTCTGCTGCCTCCCTGGGGCCAGGGTCAGGGACGTTGCCAGGAAGCTCCCCAACCTGGTACGCCCCTCAGACTATTATCCTCTTGTGATAGTCCAGGCAGGTAGTGATGACATTGATGACAGAAGCCTGAAGGCTATCAAAAGAGACTTTAGGAGGCTGGGACGGTTAGTGGACGGAGTGGGAGTGCAGGTAGTATTTTC